ACAGTGTCGTTATAATGTTTTTAAAAAAGACAATACGGGAAAAATGGAAAGTGGTCCTTTGTACAGTTGATATAATACAGGTTAGGTGACCATTAGAGCAGTTTCGACTGGACTTGTACCATGAACCTATTTAAAAGCCCCAGCTAGTCGTTTGCTCAGGTCGCTGTCACGCTGGACTTCGTTCCAGAAGGACCCTGTGAGACCAAGAGACGGGACACTCTTGAACTTAGATATTGTTTTCATTAGAAAGAGATTTACGGTACTAACAACACAATTAAGTAACATAAAGTCCACTGATTGGGTGTATTACTAGAGAGTGCTGTGCAAAGAAAAGGAGGGGAGGAAGATTTATAGATGTTTGACAGGAAAGAAGGGGCGAAGTACACCAGAGCGCCCACCAACTGCTTACCATTTTGATATAATTACATTTGTATAGTGTTAATTCCCGCTCAACAAGCTGTAAGAGTCTTGCAATCGATGTTATTACTCCAGCAAACCGGGTGGTATTCTGAAGCAATTTCAACTTCCTGGGAAGCATACGGTGGAAGCTGCCGTTTAATAGGTTTAAAACACTAACATACTGACAAAACCTTTTAGCTGTACATGGACAAGTACCCATTCACACCTGGGTGGTGGAAAAAAATCGTGCAAAGTGCCTTTCCCACGGATGCAACATCGGACAGAGCTGAGCCTCGAAACCCCGAACCGGCAACCTTATGACTACGCGTTTGGTAACATTACCGCTGGACAACCGACGCCAAACTTTCATGTTTGAAGTAGTTTTCAAGGCTCCCAACCAATTCACCTATGATGTATAGCAGATGGAACCGCTATTCGGAAAAATGGCTGATTTAACTCCTCTGCCAACACGAATAGGTTGTTTAAGAGGCAGGACCTCCAAGTTAAACATCCATCCCGTAAATGACCGAGACAAAGGGGTAATTCGTGTAATTTCGACGCAACGTCGGACAAGAACTGAGACTTGAACCACGAATCCGTAACCTCAAAGCTACAGGTCGGTATCATAACCACTAGGCTCCAGGCGCCACTCTACCTCAAAGAGGCAAAAGGGACATTTAGTCCATACCGTACCATTTATGAATGTACTAAAAATGTCATCCAGGGCTAATGTAAGTAGCCTTTCCTTTTCCTTGCCTTGGGAATTGGCTGTGAAGTTATTCACGATATAATAATAATAATAATAAAATAACAATAATAGTTCGTCAACGTCTGACGATTACCAATAGTGGCCCTACATCAGCAGAGGAGAATATTAAATTAAACTTGATAAAAGTAAGAAACACTTTATCATGGCCAGAGAGCCCAATTCTGACTGGCAGAGAAGAGTTAGCCACATTTTGAGCATCTGTGGATGTGCGCATCTCGCTTAGCATCCTCTCAACATTTCTAAACATAATACTATTAATACAGTGTACGAAGCCGAACTCTGAAGTCTGAAGAATGCGCAACAAGATCAAGCGATTTCGCGTCGTCTCGACAACAGTCGCAATTCGCTCGGAGGGAAACGGTATCAGAAATACAGGAAAAAAGTAGACAGGGCAAACCATACGGAAGAGCCCACCAACGTTCCGTACGACTTGTTTACGACGAGAATAAGCAATATTTAACCATATTCGCTGCTGTGGACTCACCTTGTTCGAAATCCTCTGGGGAATGCGCGCACGTGCGGACTCCTTTGGGGGATAATGCGGGGTTGGGGGATTGCTCACGATGTTATTGGTACAGGAGAAGGGGACACAGCTCAGCGAACTTAGTCAGAGGGAAGTCACATCTGTGTGTGTGTGTGTGTGTGTGTGTGTGTGTGTGTGTGT